CGGACGCCTGCAGCTTGCTCCGCCCTTCACTTACACCTTCCCGGTGAGGCGCCCCCTCACCTCGTCATCAGGCGGGGATGTGGCCGCGGCCGGTTTTGGGCTTCCCCCACCATATGCGGCAACCGCAGATTCTCCAGTCCGGCTCGGAAGTTTCAGCACCCGCCCTATAAGACGACACCCGGCGTATAAGACGACCCCCGACTTTTGAGAAGATTTTCCTGGGTTAAAAAGTAGTCTTATACGCCAGAAAATACAGTATATATATTTATTATTTATATAACCCAGAACCGCTGGGTTATTTTCTTGATATTTTCTTGAAATCCTCAGGGTAGTGACTACCAGGTGGTTCATTTATGTCTGGCTCTAAGAAAGGAAATGAATAATAACACCTCCAGCATTGTGTTTTATATGAAAAGAGAGGGAGGATGGATATGTGGTTAACACTCAGAGCTGTGAGGCACTCAGATACCAGATGTGATAGAGTTGTAGATAGATAGCTTGATTAGACAGAAGTTAGGAGATGAGGGTTCTATTCTTGACTCTGTCACAGACTTCCTGTGTAACCTTAGTAGCTTTCTGCCTTAGTACCCGTATCAGAAAAACTCAGCTAATGATATTTTCCTACTTTGCAGGGGTGTTCATGAGACTTATATCATTCATGTTTTCATTGAGATCCTCCGATGGAAGGTGCTGGAGAAAAGCAAAGTATTATTATGGTATTATTTATTTCTGTAACACACTAAAACATGGCAGGCATATGTTCAAAAGGTTTAACTTCGTAAAACCAATGCCTTGAGAACTGACCCTTAGGATAAATATTAGCAGTTTTGAATTTGCATGAATTTAGGTGCTGAGAAATGTTAATCTGGTAGCTCCATATAACACTTCTGAATAATACAAGCAGTGCAAATGTTACTGCATGTGGTTTTTTAAATTTGTTTTTCCTCTCTAGAATACCTTGGCAAAAGCATTATATGACAACAAGGCTGAGTGTTCAGATGAGCTAGCCTTCCGCAAAGGAGACATCCTAACGGTTCTTGAACAGAATGTCTTAGAGAGTGAAGGATGGTGGAAATGTTCCCTCCATGGAAGACAAGGCCTAGCTCCTGCTAATCGCCTCCAACTCCTTGCTAGTTCCCAGGCAGACATGTTGTCTCTCTCCTCTGAGCATGATTCCCAGGAATTGCCCATCTGTCAACAAAATATCTACCAGGTCCCATCAGCTCCCAAGTCTTCCACATTGTCACCTACGTATGAACGGATGGACAGTTGGATTAAGCCACTTCCTTCTTCTGTTTCTTCTCCACCTACTCAAGAAATATATCAGGTGCCAGCTTTAGCTGCACAATTATTCCGTGAAAAGACCCAAAGCCTAACCAATCAGGTAAGAATATAAGCAAGTATTAAGGTGCCAAGTGTTGGAAAATACCAGTGAGGGGAAGGGAAGCCTGACGGTTTTTACTTTTTCAGGGACTTGAGAATTTCAGTTGAAAGTTGCAGTGAAGTCAGTCAAGTAAATTATGCTTTGTTTAGGCGACTTGAATAAATACTGTTATACATTCATAGCATTCTATAGGAAATATTCCTATAAAACTCATATAGTCATCCCTGGAATCACATCAGCCCCTGCCGAAATACAGCCACCTCCGTGACAGTAAGTAGCAGCTATATAATGCCCAACCATTTAGGACAGGAAGTGAAGAGGAATATAATAACTGCTTTGGGTGGAATATAGAGATTTATGGGTCATACAAAATTGCTTAAAATTCCTTAAGCTATAAAATTCCAGAGCTTCATACTTCAGTGGTTGAGGCACAGACACACATTTCTTCACATTTGTGGGGTTTTGACACTTATAGAAGATAATTTGTAACAATGTGGTTATAGAACTTCTCAGTCAGACTGCCATCTTCTCTCACTGAGATGCTGCAACTCTCTTCCCTTTAGTCTCTCCACGTCCCAGTTCTTCAACAAGTTCAAAACGCTGCTGCCAGTCTTCTCATGCACCAGGTCACCTCCTTCTCCAGACAACTCCATTGACTCCCTATCCATTTCAGGAGTCACTTCAAAACTGCTCCCTTGTTGCAGCTTCTCAGTGAGATACCCTCTCTTTCTCTGCTCACGCTTTCTTTAGGCCTGGATGCATGATTACCCAGTTTACATTTGGGTGATCCCATCAATACTCAGGTGCTCCAACAGCCCGTATAAGTGCCAATATTATTTTTATTAAATGTGAATAGAGTGCCCTAACATAGGCAGTTGAAAACTGCCGTCCCTGTAACAAAGAATTGCCTCAGAGGCCTTCCTAATTAAAAATGAGCAGTAATAGCAGGGATTTATCAGTGCAGTTCACTACAGTTTATTTTACTTTATGTTTTGTCTCACAGGCTCATGGGGCCTTGGATATGGGAGCTTCACATTAACCATCCCCTAAATTAGTTCTCAAACTTTTGTACTGGTGACCCCTTTCACATAGCAAGCCTCTGAGTGTGACCCCCCTTATAAATTAAAAACACTTTTTAATATATTTAACACCATTATAAATGCTGGAGGCAAAGCGGGGTTTGGGGTGGAGGCTGACAGCTCGCGACCCCCCCATGTAATAACCTCACGACCCCCTGAGGAGTCCTGACCCCCAGTTTGAGAACCCCTGCCCTAAATGAAACGTATGTTACAAAGGTTAAATGATCTAAGGCAGAGACTTAAATATTAAGTCAGTCTATAAAGGATGCAGGATATTCATCTAATCATTTACTGTAGGCCATCATTTCACTCCATTTACCTCCTTTAGCCATCTTCCCTACCTTTGCATCAAAAGGAAAGATACAGTGACAACAGTGTTGCTCTATGTATTACCTGGTGAACAGATGCTGAAAAACCAAGTGAACTTAGTGTAGCCATGGAGATTGAGGTCCATTTTTTCAAAATAGCACTTCCAGTTTTCATGGGTGATTACCATAATTGCACAATCAAACTGTGTAACTGAATGTTCAAAGGAACATAATTAGCCTTCTGCACAGGCAATGACCTGATCTGCACAGGCAATGACCTGATCTATGCACCTAATTACAAAGAAGGCATACACAAATTGGGTATGACATCTCACGAACATTTTGCATATGCAATTGTGCCTCCAACTTTTAAAAAAAACAGGCCCTGAAATTGTCACATACCCATTTTCTATTGAATTAGGAGCACAAGCTGAGAGTTAGATAGATAGATAGATAGCAAGCAAAGCCATCTATCTATCTATACTGTTGCCCTGTGATACCTGCTAAGCTGCTATGTTATATGTTGTATCTACCTTGTTCAGCTATAACTGTTTTCTTTAACAAGGAAAGAAAAATACTTTAAAATCTTTAAGATGTTTCTAATATTTACACTTTCAGGTTTGCCTGAGCTACATCACAGTTGCTACTACAAAGAACAACTGTACCACAGGAGTCAACAGCCACACATACACACGCATTTAAAGGTGTAGAAGTAGACAGCCCATCTGAGTGCAGCAGTACAAATTGAAGTATCCTAGATTACCCCATGTACATGGTATGGGACAACTGGCATATCTTCTGACATGTTCAGCTGTTCTCTCAGCAGCTGGGTGAAGCTACTCAGTCTTTGAGGGACTCTGATTGAAAAAAATAAGCCCCTCTGAAAAAACCTGTGTGCATGCTCCACCTACATTTTAAAGCTTGTAATTTTGTTACTTCTCGTCCAATAAAAATTTCAGCCATTTGTTGTCTTAGTCTGCCTGATCCTGAAAATATGCAAAGCGATTTCTTTTCTGTAGCAAATCTGGTAATAGAGTGTGATATTCACTAATTCACATTTTACTATCAACCAAATAAGATTGTCTGTATGTGAAAGTAGGTTTGGGCCAAACCAGAACCTTTTAGCTGGACTCTACTTATCTTCTTACCTACTCTGCGCAGAAAAAGAAAGCCTGTTCTCTTATAGTTCTGTCAGTGTAGAAGGTTTGTAAGACAGATGGCTCCTTTTGCAGAATAATAACAGAATTCATGTTCATTTATTTATTTCCTGTCCTTACAAGAAACCAACGTTTCAGTCAGCCAGGCCTTTCTCAAATATGAAACAGGGAGATAAAAAGCTGGGGCCTTGTCCTTCCGCCACACAATATGTCCTTCCGCCACATTGCTCTGAATTTGGTGGGTGTGATTGTTAATATGGTGAAGAAGAACACTGCCTCTCATTCTTAAATGGCTTATTGCAACATAAAGCTTCAGTAGAAGCTCCTTCTGGTCAGAAATTTGGTGTTGCAATGGTTTATTTATAGACCCACTGTGCAGTCCCAAGGGCATCTCATTGCTGAATAGACAAAATTCAGGGTGGTTTCGGAGTGAGTGAAAAATCCTTTCCCCAGTGCTCGTATCTATTAGCAGTCTGCTAGCATTTTAACTAAACATATCCACAGCCTCCAGTCATGGCGGTATTTTCATTCCTATGCCTCTTAAAACAATGTTTCAAGCAAAGAATGAAATAAATCTGTAACTGGTCTATGCATTAGAGCACCCTCATTAGGCTCATGTGCTCTAGGAGTTGGACAGGACCAGAGAAAGAGGTGAGAACAACAGACTTGCTTCTTCTGAGAGAAGTCCAACCTCCTTTATCGTACCATATACTTTAATAATAGTGGTGCTACCACCCACTATAATCTCATTTCAGATGTCTTGCAAAACCATGCTCTGAAGTGTCCCTAGCCTCTGTTTGCCAGAAGCTGGGAATGGGCGACAGAGGATGGATCACTTGATGATTACCTGTTCTGTTCATTCCCTCTGAGGCACCTGGCATTGGCCACTGTCGGAAGACAGGAAACTAGCTAGATGGACCAGTGGTCTGACCCAGTAAGGCCGTTCTTATGTTCTTACATTCCTGTACCATAGGAAAGGTGGAGTAGAAACCCCATGGACTTCTTTTCAGTTGTTCTACTTTTTGGGAGCCAAAAGATCTGGTTGGTATCTGGATCAGGATAGATTCACTACACATCTTTTCTATTTCCTGGGCTATATGTGAGGCAGAATGCCTTTAATCTATCAATAATTCATCTCTGAAATAGAGTGGAAATACTAGTAAAGAGGATTTATAGGAAAAATAAACCCTGTCTGTTTAATAGGTAGACAATGAGCAGTTTTCAAGTTTAGGGTCAGTGAATATTTGACAGAAGCTTTTTAATTAACACCCCCAAAAGGAATTCTTCCAGCAATGGCCATCAGACTCATTACATTCTCACAGATGCCCTAAGATCACTTCAACTTTCTCATTACATTCTTCTTTTCTTCCCCCCTCAAGCACCGGTTTACTCTTCCCACAGCATCTCAGGCCTCCATACCATATATAAAAAATGAGGCTTATGATGTTCCATCACCACAACACCGGGTGGCCTTATTCACTCAGGTGAGTCTTGTCATGTCGCTGAATATGTCCATCAAGTGGGACTGGAATTCAGGACTTCTGAGTTCCTTATCATATGCAACAGTGCTAGAAAATTTAAAAGTAAATTATAACTTTTCTATTCATTTATTGTTTGAACTCTGCTATAAAGATTGGTAGGGAATTCTATAGGAAAGTTTAAAAAACCGATAAGAATCTGATTCTCTTTTAAATTTGATAGATTTTTTAAAATAATATATTTGGATCCAAATCTTCAAAAATTAAGTGTAACATCCAACTTCGCCACCTAGTGCCCATCTCCCCTCCCTACAGCATTATGATTTTATTCAACAGTCCACTCCAGTAGAGTCTAAGAACTGTATCCTGCTCTGAGTACACACACAGAATACCTGCAAGAACTCAAGGCAGTTATGTCCCTAAGTCTTCAAGTTGGTGCTATGATAAACAGTATTTAAGTCAACCTTACTTTTGTATTTTATTAGAGGTGTGCCACTCCACCCACAGCCAGAAAGGGCTCTATACCGATCCCCTCCAAAGAATATATCCAGGAAGAGCGGCAACAGCTTTATGACATCCCATCCAGCTCGGAAAAGGCAGAAATCTATGTCCAGCAAGACCCTCCAGGGAGCAGTGTAAGTGTTACTCACTGAATGGCAGAGAATAGTCTCTCATTAATACCGTCACACTCATACAGCAGAACACATGAAAAGGTGTATGGTTAATCTAATATGCTGTACATGCCTCTGATGTGAGGTGGGGCACCGGCACAATAGTTAAGTGCCTTCAATCTGCTAAGAAGAATAAACATAAAAACAGCACTACTTGAATGTTACATTTCTTTAATATCATAGAACCATAGACATGTAGGACTGGAAGGGACCTTGAGGTATCTAGTCCCTCCCCCTGTGCTGAGACAGGGCCACGTACACCTGTCATAGATGATCCTTGACAGGTGTTTGTCTAACCTGTTTTTAAAAAACTCCAGTGATGGGGATTCCACCAACTCCCTTGGTAACTTATTCCAGAACTTAACTGTCCTTATAGTTGGAAAGTTTTTCCTAATATCTAACCTAAATTTCCCTTGCTACAGATTAAGCCCATTATTTCTTTTCCTACCTTTAGAGGACATGGAGAACAGTTGATCACAGTCCTCTTTATAACAGCCGTTAACATATTTGAAGACTGTTATCAAGTCCCCCCCTTGGTCTTTTTTTCCTCAAGTCTAAACATACCCATTTTTTAAACTTTTCCCCATAGATCAGGTTTTCTAAATCTTTTATCATTTTGTTTCTCTCCTCTGGACTTTCTCCATTTTGTTCATGTTTCTTAATGTGTGGTGCCCCAAACTGGACACAATACTCCAGTAGAGTAGAGCATGACAATTACCTCCCAAGTCTTACACACAATGCTCCTTTAATACACCCCAGAGTACTAGCCTTTTTTTGCAACTCCATTACATAGTTGACTCACATTCAATTTGTGATCCACTATAACCCTCTCCCCAAATCCTTCTCTACATTAGTATTACCTAGCCGTTTTTGTATTTCCTCTTTTTGTATTTGTGCTTTTTTTCTTTCTTAAGTGCACTTTGCATTTTCTTGTATTGAATTTAATCTTATAGATTTCAGATCAATTCTCCAATTTGTCAAGGTCATTTTGAATTCTAAACCTGTCCTCCAAAGTACTTGCAACACCTCCTGTCTTGATGTAATCTGCAAATTTTGTAAGCATATTCTCCACTCCATTATCCAAGTCATTAATGAAAATGTTGAATAGTACTTGACCCAAAACAGACTCCCACAGGACCCCAATAGATATATCCTCCCTGTTGTACAGTGAACCATTGATAACTATTCTTTTAGTGTGGTTTTTCAGCCAGTTGTGCATCCATTTTATAGTAATTTAATCTAGTCCACATTTGGTGGATTTTTTATTTTTAATATTAAGTAAGTTTAAAGTAAGAAATGAGACTAGTTATACTGGATATCTGCTGGAGATGGAACTATCATTGTATTTGTTTGCTTACTATATTTAAAGTGACATTTGTCACCAAAAAAGGTGACTCAAGGAACTATTTGGTAAGTAAAACAGATGTCAGATTCTTATATTCTTGAATATCTGCATGTTTGTAACCTTGAAGCAGAAACAAATAACTTGCATTGTATTGTAAGAAGAGAATGTGATCTAGTGGCTATCGCTCTGCCAATGACTCATGCACAACCTTGGGCAAGACACCTAATCTACGTGTATCACAGTGTATCCACTTAAAAATAGGAATTATATTATTATTAATAATAATTGTATCATGCCAAAAACTGTGCTGGGAGCTTTACAAGGATAGCCAAATAGATAATGAGATCCATGTTCCAAAGAACTTACAATTTTAAATACAACAGATGCAAGAAGTGAGGTTCTTACCCACGAAAGCTTATGCTCCCAGTACTTCTGTTAGTCTCAAAGGTGCCACAGGACCCTCTGTTGCTTTTTACAGATTCAGACTAACACGGCTACCCCTCTGATACTTGAATTTTAAATACGTAATACTTACACCTCATGGGGATGTGGTGAGACTTCACCAGTATTTGTAAAGCATTTTGAGATCCTTGGGTGAAAAGTGAAAACTGTAGGCTCAGTCGTGATGAGTGGACACTGGCTTGCTTTGGGGGTAGTGTGAAGCGGCACACCCCAGCTTAAACTCTGGGAGGGATTGTGTCTCAGTGAGCATCCCATTGTTCAGGGGAGCCATTAGAGGTGCAGCTTGCCCATGCCTTGTATATCTGGCCAGCTGCATGGACCAATGAAGAGGGGAAAGTCAGGGATCCACCTCTTCCCTGCCACTTGTGAGGGTGTCTTGCACCCCTGGAAACCTTGGCAAACCACAGACTCTGCAATTGTGCCCAGCGACTGCATACTCCTGTTGCATCTTGAACTCCCTCCCCACTACCCTTGTGAAGCAGCAAAGCACTATCTGGCCCGACATGTATAATTATTCTTATATTGGCCTTATTGCACCAGAATCAGTCATCATTCTTCAGCTGTAGAAGTCAGATGTACACAAGCAGCTATTGTATGCCATTGAATAAGATCAGTATGCATCTCAGGAAGCCTTTGAAAATGTAAACACAGTGCAATTATTTTAGTGTGGTCAGCTGTGCATTTTTTTTGTTTTAATTTGCGTGTGTGCATGTGTGTATATGAGTACCGGAAATTAAAGAGGTTGGAATCAGTTCTGCTAGTTAACAGGCTCATGAAATCTTGTTTGCTTCACTATATAAAACTGTCCTTGATCGACATTACCTTGCAGTTTGATAATCTGTGGATGTGACAAAAATATACTTGGTCACAATATTAGATATTTCATATTTGCAATGTGATTGTGCATTTCAGAGAGGAAGCAGAATTAGAACTATGTGCCAGAGCCACAGCTGGTATAAATCGGCATAGCTACATTGATTTCATTGACCTATGCCTATGGATCTGACCTTATATTTCTAAATGTCGCTTGTAAACCTTGTGTACTGCTTTCCAGGTGTATGATGTCCCCCCCACAACTGCAAGAGACCATGACATTTCACTACAAAATTTATCTCAAATAAAATGTTTGGGTCATTATACTACCTTGCCAAATCCTCGGAAGTCAGAATGGATTTATGATATTCCGGTATCACCTGAAAAAATGGGTTTAAAAAAAGATCCTTCCGGTCGTTCCCTGGAAAAGCAGGTGCTGTATGACATACCGCCAGCCAGATATGGTTCTAGTTTGCAAAATGTTCCATCAACAAATATCAAAAGCAAATCAGTGAATCCACAAATGTATGATGTCCCACCAACACAGAGAAAATTAACCTTTCCTGATATCCCTCGTTATAATGTACCATCCTCATGTGACATGCAACTTTTGCAGCAAAACGGTAACTATCATGTTCCACCAAGCTTTCTGACTCCAAGGGTTGAGCAGAACTCTGAACCAAATGTTTATGATACTCCAAAAGTGCTGCCTACTGCTTTACAGCACAGGAAAGGGACTGAAAAAAACAACAGTAGTTTTGGAAACCATACTTACAACATTCCTCCACAGCTGTCAAAAGATTCCAAATTAGAACAAGACAGGTTATCAGTTTCCAGTGTGGACAGTAGAACCAGTACCCTATCTACATTATCAAGCACTTCTGCTGAGTCCTCTTCTATGTCATCATCAGAAGAACCTGCAAAAGAAATTGAATTGGAGCTTGACTTAGCCATAGAAGCATTGACCAAGCTGCAGCACAGTGTATCCAGTTCAGTTGCAAGTCTGATGATTTTTGTAAGCAGTAAGTGGAGATTCCGGGAACACCTGGAGACAAACCTTGAGGAAATCCATAGAGCAATTGATCACATAAAAGTATCTTTGGGAGAATTCTTGGACTTTGCTCAAGCCATCAAGGTGAATGCCTCTTGCGTCACTGACAATAACCTTCAAACCAGAATTAAAACACAACTGAAAATTCTTACAGACTCATTCCAGATCTTGGTAGAAACAAGGGAAGCACTGAATAACTGCAAGTGGTCACTGGAAGTTCTGGTCATTAAGAAACCTCAGAATAACCCAGATGATCTTGATCGGTTTGTTATGGTAGCCCGCACAATTCCAGATGATATCAAGAGATTTGTATCTATCATCATAGCTAATGGAAAGCTTCTCTTCAAAAAGAATTGCAAGGAAGAAGAGACCAAGACACCAAAAATTGGTACAGATTATAAAATGGCAAAGCCGATCCCAATACCCAGAAGAAGAGAACTTGATTCACTCCAAAGAAATACTTTGGATAAACCAAACAAAAACAAAGTCTCTTCTGAGAAATCAAGAGAAAATGTCACTGAAGACTGTGATTATGTTCAGTTACAGGTCAGTGTAACATGATTTGCTGCCAATTTTCTGCTTCATGTTGTTTGCAGGTAAGTTTACTTGCTCTATTTTAACTTTGTTTTATCACAAACCTCGCTTTGGTTTATATTCAGTTTCACCTGCTAGCCTGATTGCCTACCTCCAGGCCTTCGGGAGCCACAACCAAGGCAGCCAGTCAAATATAGAAGGACTAGAGAAGTGGGGCTTGTCCATTCTTAGAGAGCAATTCTTGAACCTCACCACCCAGATGTGCTAAATTTTCAGCCCAGCTTCAAACAATGTGTTTCTTTAGGGTGCTATTTGTTTCGTGTCAGCATATTTAACGTTAATGGTTATGGCACAATTTTGTGTTTTGGGTGCACATCAACTACGGTGCTCAGATGCAGGAAATGTCAGCTTCCGTGTTTGTGATTTGCTAGAAAATGTGGCTTTGAGGTGTAGGGTAGGGTTACCATATTTCAGCAAGCAAAAAAGAGGACGGGAGGAGCCCTGCCCTAGCCCCACCCCTGTCCTGCCCTAGCCCCGCCCCTGCCCCACCCACTTCCCGCCCCCTCAGAACCCCCAACCCTCCTCCCCCCGCTCTTTGTCCCCTGACTGCCCCCTCCTGGGACCCCTGCCCCTAACTGGCCCCCCAAG